AACTAGCGATTGATCAAGGGAAATAGTCAGAGGAGAACCTCTTCTACCAGAGGGTAACGCTCCACTGCTGGATCATGCCACTTTCAAAACCACCACCTCTTGCAATCAGCACAATCCTGCATCAGCTCTCTAGAGGGGAACAGCTTTGTACTCCTCCTTCTTCTTCCTCTTGATCTCCATAAACAAGAATTTCTTCCCATAGTACTAATACCAACTCTCGTGTTTTCTTTATTCAGAGGTACATTGAATCCGGCTATAAACAGATACACATTACATGTTTAGTTTTCAGCTCAGAAAGCAGAAGGGGGCCCAAACAACAATCTCAGAACTTCAGAAACCTTCTAATTTTAAATATAAAAGTCAAACAAGCCATGCGTATTTATGATGTAGGACTCCTATTTCAGTTGTTAACTAGGTCTGAGAAACAAAAAATGAACATAGCACAGAAATTAAACATGGATAAATACTACAATTTTGAAACCAAAAGTTGCTTTAATAACCTTTAATAACTACACGTTCCCTGAATAACCTGATGCAGCTTTGAAGTCAGCTCTGATAACTCAGAGAAGGCTGGGCTAGACACTTCCAGAGGGCCCCAGCCAAACTGGACCGTTCTGACACTGAATTCATTCACATCACCATTTAGTGCACATTCCTGTAATTCTTCCTGAACTATTCTAACAGGCTGCGCTCCTCTCAATGTGAAAGAAAGTAACCCACATCACAAAAAAGCATTGTGCATGGCTTTTTGGTTTGGATGTGACTTTTCTTGTTTATCTTTCTTTTTAAACCAAGTCTAATAATCCCATTCATGTATTATTATATAAGGTTTCCAGGCAGAAGGGATTTTCCATCTTTTCAACTTGTGAAAGCTCTTAACTAAGATTAAGAACCAATCAGAGCAAGATTTTGTTTGTTTAGTGTGGAGTCAATACCAATTTCTCAGCCAAACAATTAATTTTTGAAACTTTCTCTTACCACTCCAATTAAGTCTCCTCGGCCATATTCACCAGTCAGGTGCTTTTTTCCATCATCCATCCGTATGACTGAGCGAAGTCGACCATTCAACACAATGTACGTGCAGTCTGACTTGTCACCCTGCCTGCAGAAAAAATAATCAATAACAAAGATTAGTGAAGCATCTTTGCTCAGCAAACGCATCTAGAGTCTTTTAACAAGTTGATCATCTTTCCCTACCTGGCTTAGAAGACACAGGAAAATGTTTAACCAACATTAAACATAACAAGCAAACAAGAAACTGAACAGGCATCTCTTAAAAAGTGACTTGGAAATATGTTTGATGTTTAAATGTACAGGCTTTGCACAATCGGTTAATGTTAGGTCTGGAAGGAGACAGCCAGGATGCAAGTGGTCTCTAGGGGAGACGGCAGGCTCATTAGCGGTTACAGCAGGAGCCTATTGTCATTGCAAGGTCAATGTGGATGCGTAGAGAAATTCTGCAGGTCAAACAGAAAAAACCCTGAGTGGCTCAGGATTTGGATTCCTTTCAGCACACACGTCTTAGTCTATCAGGAAGGTTTTGCTATATATATCAAGTTTGCATGATTAAGAGCCCTGTTTGGCATGCAGATTTCCAGCATAACCTAGTACATAGATGAAACGCCATACTTCTTGTAGTGGAGTTAAAACTAATGCAAGGAATTCCAAAAGATTTTAACAAGATACTGACAGCTATGACTGCTTTGATGCACAAAGTAATCCAAAACTTCCATTAGCATTACTGCTGCAGGTGTAGTTATAAAAATTAAAAGTACAATTATACAGAACACGTAGTAAATTAGACCTTTATTTCCCACCACTGCAGCAACCTTACAATGGCTTAAATGTATCCTAGAATAAAAATCAATAAAACTAAGTTTTCCCAAGGATGACTTTTGTCCCTTAAACATAAAGTGCAGTGCCTACTTTCAATTTACTATTGAATACACCTAATTGAATTACCTTTGAGTTTTGTTGTTTATTTTAGAAAGGCTGAAAAACTCTTTGAGCAATAGATGTTCATACCCTTAACAATGCAGAAACTACCACCAGAACATACAACTGTCTATGTCTTAATCGATTATGTCACTTTAAAAGCTCGCCAAGACAACATAAAGGATGAGGAATAGTATGAAAGAATTTTAATAACACCTGGAGACAAGACACTGAAGCAATGTTGATGGGTACTGCAGAAAGAAAATAATCTCAAAATAGGCAAACAGATAAACCTGATGGAATGGTTGATAAATTTAGTTCAATGAGTTTCATATCCTATGTATCACCAAGGGAGCACAGCTACTTAGCTAAGAAAACTTAAATGTTCAACAGACAACATACAATTTTGCCCACATCTCACCTGTAAACAGCTCGTCCAGCCTCAACCTCCATCCAATCCAGGGCAAAGTCAATTTGCCTGACAAATGGGGACATTCTCTTCACAACAGTGTGGGCCACACCAAGAACTACGCTTGGCTGCTCCCGCATTATCCTAGAGGGAAAAAAAAGTGTAATTCAAGTACTTCCCCAAAATAGGAATAGGTACACGCAGGCACAACTGGGTCAATATAACTGGGCAGTTATATAGGCACTAATGCAGAAGTCAGCACATACCCACATACACACTCCACTATCGCCACAACCACACTACATCAGTGATAACAAAGTATGGGGCTGCAGCCTTCCAAACTAGCCCAAATTAAATGTCACTTCAAGTTGACATTGTCCTAGCGGCAGTCAGACTGTGCTAGTAGGATGCTAGCTAGGCCTGCTGTCCGGCCCAATTCTCTTCTTTAAGTGAGCAGCAGGGCGGGTGGGAGCCGTGCTAGCTCTTGTCTATGAGCCACCCTCTCAACCTCCCCTTCACTCAGGTCTCCTGTGACTCAGGGAAATGTTCATACTGTCCAGAAGATTATCCCTTCCTGCCGTTCTGCACCTCGCAGTCTCTCATACGTGCACGTGCTCAGTTTCCCCTAGATTTTGTAGCAGGTCAGAACCTTATATGTAAAGTCTGATGCTCTTAAAAATAAGAGACCTACTCTGCATTTCAAATGTTCCCTTTTCCCTGTTGCAAAAGCCACAAAGAACTGAAATATCTTCTAATAAAGCTTTTGATCTTCACACTGAATCCTTTGAGTGATGCTTAAAAGTCTCTAGTAATAAAGATACCATGTAATTCAATACTTTTCTCAAACTGAAAAACTTTGAGAATGTTCTGCCAGGGATAACTGCAAACTCGACACTGACTGCAAAGCCCGAGGGAAATCACTCTCACAGACACCTGATAACTGCTCATGAATGTCTTATTTCTCATTCTTTTTAGACTAAAGATCACTGCATCCTGTCACTTTGTGAGTAAGCACTCAAATTCTTACTGAAGCACTGCTCCACAGGAGTGAACTGATCACGCACATCTCTAGATGGTGTACCTGTTAGGATATCTTATATTTTCTGTTCCTCCACAGCATCAAGAGCATTTGATGACAGACTACTAAAAACAGTTATTTCTGAAGAGGCAGCACAATTCAGAAAGAAGTAGGTACGTATATGCAGACCCAGTACGTGAAATGCATGCAGACAGAGATGAGAGAACTACATTAAAGCCACACATGGACAGAAACAAAGAGAAAATGATAAATACTTAGTATGTTTTCTGCATCAATGTTCCCTTCACAATGAAGATACCAGACTGCCATGAGGCAATCTACTTAGGAGATCCTGTGTATGTGGGAAGTCTTGCTAAGCACAAATCATGTGAGCTTCGTATCTAACCTTGCACTCTAAAAAAAAAAAAAAATGGAACAGAGAAGAGAAAGGCATGGACGGAGCACTGTCAGGCTTTGTTCCCTAACTGAAACATGGATCCTTGTGGACCATTGTAACCTGGCAGAAATCAGAGAAAACCTGAGTAGAGATCCATAATCCTAGGATATGGTATCAAAAGCAAACTCATCAGGAGCTCTTTACTGCCTGGATGAAGCACAGAAACCGCCCTAAAGTTTCTAAAACATTAGGTCTCTCATCCAGTACTCCTATAGCTGCAGGAAGAGACCCAGAGCTGACAGTGGCTATGGGTCAGGTGCAGCACACAGGACATTGTAGGAAGCTTTCGTGTTTATCACACGACTATTCTATTCTCCTTACCCAACGCCTCAAATTACTTCTTTTTGCAATAATGAAGCTTATAATTTCTTCAGCTGAAATCCCTGAATTTGAAATGGAAGAGATTCATAGGCATATATCCCTATTCCATATTGAGCTCATCACACTCATACCCCTGCACTCATATGTGCTACTAGGGAAATTATACTGAACATCAACTCTTACAATTAGCACTGTTTAAAATCCAGCCCCCCAAAAAGCAGGACAGCTTTCCTCTCTTGCCCCTTTTCTCTTGCCCTGAGGTTTCCACGCCCCCTGCATCTCCAACCCAATACGCCTACAGACCACCTCGATTTTGAGAAACTATTATTATACATGAAAACAACATGATATCTTACGGAAACTTTACCACACTAACATAACTTGGAGCAAAGGACAAAGGAACTGGAAGAGGCGCCTCAGGATAAGCACTAATAAACAGACAACCCTAATCCCTCACCACACACAAAACACCCAGCCCTATCCCCCTTCTCAGCTGATCTAAAAGTTAAATAAACCCACTGAAAACTCCTGAACGGTTTAGCTCATTCTTTTTACTCTAGTTGCTTATTTAGCCCTCAAAGTTTCCTCCCACACAAGCTGTCTGCTATGATCAATAAAAGCCATTTACTCCTTTTCCTCCCTCAAGATACGTATCTTGCATTCAAAATGTAAACTACTAACAGGCTGCTTTTACTTCCATCTGGAGCTCTCTGACCAAGTGCTACGTAGCTTCTACAAGAGTATTAGCATGGAAGGTAAAAGTCCACCCTTATGCATAAGAAGAGAAAAGCAGGGATCTTTTCCACATTATCGGCCAAGTTTCCTTCCTTTCACCCCGGGCATTTTCATCTTTGCTCTTCTGCTTTGCACACGCCTGGCACTGGGAAAATTAAAAACCGAAGCTCTGTACTACAGAAGCCTGGTTTTGAAGGGATCCTCAGGATTCTTTATTAGAAAGCTCACCAAATATAGCAATGAAATGGCTAAACTAGTGTCTGTGAAAGCCTGGGACTTATGCAGATATTCTTGTGGATGTGGATGCAATTTGATATTCAGCTTGGCTGGCAATACAAAATAAAAATCAA